CAGCTCTTCCAGATATGCCATCCTCTATCGGGTACCCAATAAATCGCAAAAAAACGCCATTAGATGCCCAATACGCCAATCACTAGAAGCTAGTGCGTTCGATTAAAATAACTGGAACTCTGAGTACAGAGGCAGTAGGCCCAGCGAATATTGCTATCCTGATTCTCAAGTGGAATCTATAAATTCATATATATATTCTATATTATTTTTTTCGAATTTATCTGATTTAATGATATAACCATTTTAGGCTACATTCTCGTGAATATTATCACATATGTATTCAAGAAAAAGGTTATCGAGGAGAATATTCTTTGTTCTCAGATCTCGGTCTAATGAAATTTATGGTGCTAATTTTCAACCCATTTATTTTTGCAGATTTGAATGACTGACTACTTTTAACATTTTAAGTAGGAACGTGTTTACAGGATAATATTTTAAATTAACTAGGGCCAACGTGTTATTTGAAGCGACTAGACTTATTCAAATTTCTGAATGAAACATTGAAGTGATCCGATAGAAATGTAACTTTCAAGAGTTGTTGTGTGTACATTTCATATCTTTTTTTTTAATTTGACCACCGATTGATATCAGTTAGAGAACCATTGAAAATCACTATGGAGAATTGGACAGCTGTTTTATCAAACTAGTTTGGGACGCATATGCAGTACGAAGCCACCGGGTTTCGAGCCCAGGACATTCCAGCTAAAAGGAAAGCCCATTGGTCATTGGGGCCATTGAGACTGGCCCCAGTGGTCTATGGGTTCTAACTTCCATCAATTCGTGATTTTACCACTAACAACCAACGTCGTCGGCGAGTATTAGCCATCATTTCCGATAGCGTGGCCCCTACTGGTCACGATTTCTCACGGGGACTACAGACAACTTCATCCTGTAGCTAGTCACCAATGAGTTACAAACCAGAACAAAACAGCTGTGCAGTACTTACCAGTTTTTAATGGTTTTCTAACTGATATCAATCAGCTGTCAAACATGAAGTAAATGTAACCGTTCTAAGTCTCATATTTATCAAAATAGAAATAGTGAAAACTGGATGAGTGATAAATTTCTGTCTTTTGGTCTCCAAAGCAATGATGCGTCCGCTTGCGAAACATGTCCGTGATTAATACCCGACTTGACAAGTAAATAGAAAATGGAAGTATGTTTTCACTCTAAAATTAAGACAACATCTAATGAAATCAAGATATTCATTTCAATTTCAGTAATCCTTCAAAGTCTTATACACAAGACAAGAACGAACTTCGCAGTGAGGATGATATCAAGGCATCTAAGCATCTCTTAAAAATTAGCCAGCCAAAAATTCCAGGCAACAATATGTGTTTCAAAAGAAGTACGTTGAACCTTTGTCCACTGCATGGTCATGATAACCAGCCATCATTGTTATTTAATTATATTCATTGTGCAAACTTCTCTAACTATCTTCCAGGTTTTGACCTCTAATCGAATATAGCTGTAACAGACATAACATCGGCCAAAGTAGTCGTCCCCTTTAAATCGGAATCCAGGAACACAAATCAGCTGCGAAAAGGCACGATATATATGTATATTCCTGTTTCATATCAGTGCATATAGATAATTATAGACATCAGTTTGATAACTGGGGTAATGTCGAAATCTTAGGCAGAGGAAACACCAAAAGTGCAGTCATGGAATTCATATAAGCCTGGTACTCAAACGAATGTGCGATTAACAAGCATGTTAATATAGACCAAATATATACCAACTAATAAAAAATAAATCATTTGACCAAAAAGTTTAAAATCCAAGTCAATAGAGAATGCATATGTAAAGATGGTTACCAGGAGACGCAGTTCTATCACTCATGAAAAATTTAAATCATTTCACTTTATGCTAAAACGTCCGCTGAAGATGTTTTCCAGCAGGGGGACGACGAAAGCTCCGCAACTAAACCAACCAGCTCAGAGAACACCATTAATTGCAAATCATCCATCTGAGCTACAAATTTTCTCTTTTTATTTCAAGGCCATTTCCTCCTAGTTTGCTATTCTTCAACAACGCATACCACCAGAGGTTGAAGCTACAACTTTCAGGTTAAGAGGCAAGCCAGTTGAAATTCTAACCCCTAGGTTGGGATCTAGTAGTAAAACTTTGAACTGTAGTGTTGTTATTAGATGTTTAGAGGCCATTGGCAGGGAGCTCTACTTCACGTAGGTTTCGTGCTTGTCGCCAATCACTAGTCAACATGTTATATCTGCAACCCTGAAGAAAGTCATGTCCTTTCTGAGATTCGAACCTGCGTCATTCAGTGCTGCAGTCAGAGACGTGATCACTGAGCTATTTGCACTCCTAACCGATCCCCTGTTGGAATGTATTGGATGATTTGACTGAACGACTGCTTTCAACCATCGGATAAAAATAATTCTGAGCTCTCACCATGACAGCAGACAACCAACCACAGTGGCTACATTGCAGTCTTCACTGATAGAATTCAATCTGCATCAAACCAAGGACTAGAAGCATGACACTAGACATTTAACTACCTAGTGTCCAATCAAGGAATTGAATTGTATATATTCGTTCCTTAAAAATCAAGACTAAGCAATTTTTCGATATTTTATATTTATATTTTATTTTTTATATTTTTGATAACAGCTTGATTCCACACTGTCTTTTTGGTACAAGTATGGAATTTTCAGCATGGATATCGGTAGCCCAAATTTTGCAGGCCGACCATAGATATCAGGTGTTCGTCGGCAGGGGATCAAACCTCGTACCATGTGCATGGTCGGCGAGAGTCCTAACCACTGTGCCACCGACGCCTAAAGGTATATGCAACGGTGAGATTCTCTGTTATATTTCCCAACTAAAAGCAACCGCCACAAATGATGAATAGGCCACGTTGTCTTGTGATGAAAGTCTGCGGAGAAGTCAGTCAAGTGAAGATATAGAAGACAAAGTTGACAGAGGTAACCAAACAGAAAAAGAACAACAAACGCAAATCACCACTACTTGGGGAAATTTAAGCGTAGTCACCTGTGATTCGCTCACCTGATTGGACAGCAACACTTCGCCCTAATGGTGATAAGAATGACGGCGTCAAAGCCAGCCAATCAGCACCAGGAAGGCACCAGAGATATGCATTACTCTGAAGTAAACATAAGGGATGAAATATGAATTTTCAAAAATCATATCAAGTCGTCAGCCAGCGCTTTTGTATCATTCAGTGACTCGGCGGGCGTTCCACTGAAAGCATTTATATTAGCCAGAGTTGGAATCAGATCAATATCTGAAGATTGCATGGCCTACTAGAAGGGATAATCACCAAGGAAGTCTGACACTGTAGAGAACTAAGCAACAACCTATTGCAAGTATGCAGAAGTAAGTGGGGACGGACTCGACATACAGTGATGATATTCTCTAGAAGAAGTCGAATAGGAAGCGGTCAGTTGATGCCAGGGAGACATGGTATCGATTATATGAAGAAAAAATAAATGCTAGTTGGGAGTCGGAGGATAAAGTGAAAGTCATTTCACAGATCCCGCTACAATACAGATAAAAAGGCTGAAGGAAGGCATAAATGAATATATATATATATATATATATATATATATATATATAGACCTTGATAAAAGTATGCAACTTGGGCACTGTGGTAGAGTATAACCCCATTATCGATAAGATTTCATTTTGACAAATCACACAGTGTTGTTATACGGTAATATTAACTGATGACCACGTTTCGAGCACAAACTATTGCCAATCATAATCATATCAAGTTACTTACACAACTTTTTCTTTCATTTGTATACCTGTGTGGAATTGACTAGATATTTGAATAAAAATCAACCAGCATAGTATAATGTACATTCAGAAATAATAATAATATGAGTGTTACTGATCAAATACAATCAGATGGGAAATAAGACGAGTGTTTTTATAGTCATAATAAATAAGTTACTTGTTAGAATGTTGGGATATACGTGAATTGAAATGAAATAGAATTTTGAGATTATTTATTGTCCTCTTCTGATTTGAGTGACTGGTGGTAATAATATCTTCCATGCATATCTCTGGTATTTGCATTGAGTCATTTCTGTTGCATGTGTTAGGTGTACTCGATGAACCGGTCAGGATTCAGTAACCAATCTCTCTCACTCTCTCCACCTACATAGATTACTTCTTAGAATCTTAAGCCTCTCCCACCATGCTACTGTGTGGTTGTGTGTTAATGCATGTAGCGCAATAGTTGAGCGTTTTTCTAAATTACTCATCTTCTTTAGGTCAACCATTCTTCCCTTAGCTAAATTCTTATGTTCCGACAATCTGATTATCCCCGATTCTAGTCTGACCTATATAGTTGACCTATCTCACAGTCATTGCAGGGTATTTTGTAAATTATATTATTTTGTTTAACGGAGTCCACCGGATCTTTTAGCCCACAGAGCTTGTCCTACCTGAGTGGGTTTGTAGGTCTGAATGCCACACATATTCCTGCTTTATTAAGAATCCAACGTAGGGAGGGTCTCAGATTTCCCTTCCCTCCTTGTATGGTATAACAGTAGATGACTTATATTCTCTCTTATTTATATTATCATTACTAGTTTCACAATTATTTTTAATTTGCTCTCAGCCCTCTTCGATCTTCCTAATGAATTTTATAGGATAGTTAGTTATTTAACACCAACGCCTCTTCTATCTGTTTTATTTCATCATTTGGGTTTTTCTAAATGTACATTATCCCACATTGACTATTATTCAAATATCTAGTCAATTCCAGACATGTATATAAATGAAGGAAAAAAGTTGTGTGAGTGAGTGACTTGATATGATTATGAGTGTCAATAGTTTGTGCTCGAAACGTGGTCATCAGTTAATATTACTCTATAACACTACACTGTGTGATTTATCAAAATAAAATCTTATCCATAATGGAATTACATAGAGCTTGTCACTGCCGGTGCTATTCGACGCCTTGCCCCAGAAAAAACACATGGGTGCGGGGTAATTGAATAAATACTTACGCTTATCGTTGAATGAATACTTTGAGCTGATTTCACTCTACGCAGATTGTCATTTTGATGTTCCTGATGCTGATGATGATGATGATCAACAACAAACGATGTTGGCGCATCAGTTTTTATTTCGACACTTTTTAATTTTGATTGTTTTAATCGACGATAATTTTCTTGTTCACATTTTAGCTTATAATCTAATGATGATATTTCTGATGTCTGACTACTTTCATCCACTGAGGTAATACCTATTGGTGAATACATTGACAAGGTTTGATTCCTTTGATGTAAAGATGATGTTGAAAAACGATTATTATTATTATTGACTGGTATACATTCATCGGATGCTGAAATATTCGGTGGTGACTCGACAAAAGGTTCAAACATTGAAGTATGCCTTCCATGTAATTCACTACTGCTATTACCACCGCTTTCCACCAGCATTGTTCCACCATAATTAGACTTATTCATTCTTTCGTCTCTCTTCAGCATATTCTCTAAAACACGTATCATTTGTTTATGTCCTTTAGTTGATTCCTTGACTAATCTACAAGCGGTTTGACGTTCTATCGACTGGGTTGCAGCTAACCGTTTCAACTTCTCTTCACATTGTTTATTACGTAGATTTAATTCATGTGTATGCAATTGAATCAACCATTTTCTTTGGATATCATAATAAGTTTTCGTTTGAAATCGAGTTAAATTTCCCAATGATATAATACGACGTTGTTTTAATTCACCAAGATTATTTAAATAGGCTAAATTTAAAACGAAAAAAGAAAAATATAAAAAATGGAAGAAAAAACAAAAATAAATTAAATACCAAATTTAGAGGATGAAAACTAATTTGAAAAAATGGACTTAATGGAGGGATTGCTGTTGAAATGTAGCATTGCATAGATGTGATGACTGGATATCCATCAAAAGTCTTCTGGACTATTCAGTAGTTTGATCGCTTTAATAATATAAATAATAATATTTTGTATACAATTGGTGGATGGTGGCTAGCAGTGGAATCCAGGATGCGCATTTCGTCCTAATTGGGACTCGTCATCTGGATGTACCTGCATTTCTCAGTGAGTGATGACGTTCCCACCGAGGCTCGAACCCAGTGCCCATAGTTTCAAACGCCTTGGCGTCGAAGCATCTGCACAAGAAGCCGACATATCAACCTGAGACCGAGCACTTCGGTCCCATCAATCGACGGGAAAATCAAAAATTCAATTCAATAATATTTTGCTTTATTCCAAAACAGTACTTGTAATACAGAATGGAATTCTCAGCATTTCACTACATACATTATTGCATCCAGTTTGTACATTAACAATAAAATAAAATTCTATGTAGATTATGGGAAATCTCAGTTAGTTTTTGACAACAACACATTAGCATATCGGTAGCAAAGCCAAAAGTGAGCATAGTGTTTGAAGGTGTTAGAAAAGTAGATACTAGCATATTTACTGGCGTAAGCGGTAACAAAAAGGTCGAAGAAAACGTTGTACCTATAAATGATATTAGTCGGAAAGATGAGATCCAGTCGTTCTACTGACTATTTAATTAGTTATAAGTTTCACGCCTAATGCTTCCTTTATCACACAGAACACGAGCTAAGTAGGGTTTGGTTGAGTTTTTGAACTTGCTAGTTCGAGCATACAGTTTTCTATATAGGCTTCTGGTCTGGTCTGGCCTGAGGAGATACAAGGGGAGAGTTGTGAATGAAGAGGGTGGTGAAAGTTAGATAGACAGAATGGATTTAGCCCATTTTTCACATGAGTCCAAATGCCTGTCGACCTGAATATTAACAAGCTGGTTAAGTGGCACACTGCTTACCCTGATGACAACCTTTAACGTCCTACGTAATAAGATATAGTCCTTCTTCAGTAGACCTGGAAAAACTAAGGAGGAGCATTAGAGAATAATAGTCAGGATGCAAGAGTTAACGAGTCGTGAGAGTGAGGGTTGGGTTATACCAGAATGTGTTAACTTCTTGGTGTAGAAGGTAAGACGGAATATTTCTTAGAAATCATCAAGATATGGGACGACCAGGAAAGATCAGCATATAGAATGACGCCAAGATATTTAATTTCCGACTTGATCTCTCTCTATGTCAGTGCCATCTATGTTGCACACCTCGTGTGAGTGGTAACCAGTTTGTTTAGGTCATATTTATGCCCTGAGGGTGAAATTGACTGTTTGACGTTTAGAGGGGGATTTAAGTTAAGACCATTTTCCTACGACCACTGGCTGATTTCTGATAGAAAGCCATTTAGTTTGGAGCAGTCGCTTTGACATTTGACAGGCAAAGATACAGTCAGGTCGTCAGCATATTTGACAAAATTAATGTCATTTAAAGATGGTCAGTCATGCAGAAAGAAAGAAAGAAAAGAGAAGTGGGGAGAGCACAGAACCTTGGGGTACACTAGTTTCAGTGAGCACAGCAGAGGAGGATTTAGCTTTGTATACGGTGTACTGCATTCTGTTTGAGAAGTAGGAATGCAACCAGTTAGTGACCCAGGACTCAGCTTGTGTCATCGAGAGCTTATTTAGCAAAAGACATCTAGGTACAGAGTCGAAAGCAGAAGTGAAGTCGAGATATGTGGCTGTGAAACATAGCCATTGAAAACAGAAAATATGGAAAGGCTAGTTGCCTTTAACCATAGATGTTTGCGTTCTGCCTCTCTGTCTCGCCTGAAGAGTCAAATCATCGTGAGTAAACTTTTAGGTAGCTGATGAGATTGTTAGGCTAGGATATGTGTTGGGCATATTGAGTCATTACTTTCCTTGTTGTATAATGTTAGTTTGTGGCGTGTTCTACTGACAGGATTTATCAGTAGTACGTCAAGAGACGCCCAACGGTAGAAAAAATATCAAACAGCGGAAAGATAGATTAGGTGTCATGGGGCGAGGTACCACGAGAAGACAAAGAAACACAGTACAAAGAAGGGAAAAAGTAGCACAGTGTTGAAGATCTATACATAATTTCTTTATATGTGTATCTTAGTAAGCAAGCAAACGCTTCGTTACCAAGTCTCCCATCTCTTCCACTTACAAGCTAACACATAAATTCTATTTGAAAATGTTAAGCAATGGTCAGATAAAAATCCGGCATTAGTGAATTCCCGCTCATTAAGTTCCGTTGAGTTTTCCTTCTTTATCTCTACCTCTGGTATATGGAAATTGGCAAGTTCAACCGCTGCATATCTATGCAGAGTTCTCTGTTGGAATGCATTCAGTCGGCCAGTCATTCATTCATTCATTCAGTCAGTCAGTCAGACACTATGTCATTAAGTCGTGCCCGTTAGCTTGAACGTCATTTTGAAGAGTCCATGTTCACACCTTGATGTTACTCACTGTTTTTACTTCCAGCCATAGACCAAATTAAGTAGTCTAGAGAAAATCCTGGCCATCATTATTATTATTATTTCCTTCAATTCCTAGAGGAACATAGGGCTTTAGCTGCACGTTTCCATTGCGTTCGGTTCTCTGCTAAAGTTTTCACCTGGCTCCAGGTCTGCCCACTTGCTTTCATCTCCTCTTCACATCACCTCCTCCATGTCACCCTTGGACGACCAACCTGCCGCTTCCCTTTCGGGTTCCACTCAAGCGATGGCTTGTCTAGTGATGTCACTTGACAGTTTGTTTTCTCGGAGTATGGCCAATCCATCTCCATTTCTTCCTGCATATTTGCTGCATAATCGGTACCTGGTTGATTTGCTCCCAGAGATGCCTATTGCTGATCTTTTCCGGCCATCTGATCTTGAGTACTGAGGGAAGGCAGCTGTTAATGAAGGTTTGTAGTTTGTTTGTGGCCATCGTTAAGCCACCTGTAATCATACACTAGGGTAGAACAAGGTGAATATATTAAAAAGCAGTATAACTAGGTGTTAAAATAGAGACACCGATAGTGGTTATTCACCGAATTAACATTTATTGAACCAACTTCCAACACATACAACCTAAAGGACGTAACATTAACACCGGATACATGGAAAATTGCTTTAAAAACAACTCCGTATGAGCATAACAATGAATTGTGCTTAAAACGTTAGCACACTCACTGTGTTATGTGAAATAAACTTGTTTTATCTACTACTGCCCTTCGTCAGTGCGTAGGTGGCACAGAGGTTAGGACGCTCGCCGACTATGGTCCGGAATTTGATCTCCGGCCACAGATACACTCCTTTACCTCGCTAAGCCAGAAATAAACCTGGTAAAGATAAAAGGTTGGTTATGAGGTTATCAATCCCATCCTGCAAAATTAAACACTGCTACAGAAACTTCATGCCTCTAGCTTGAACCTCTATGTTCCACTGGGAACGTGAAGGAACTAATAACAAAAAATCTACTGCAGTGCTCACATCCTACTCCTATATCCTCAAAACCAGAAATTGTTTACACGACACCGATAATACGTATACATTAGAAAGGAAGTATTACAATGAAACAAGGAAGATTTAAACGTGTGGCATGACTTTCACGCTGTGGGACTGCTAGACTCACTCCCAAACTTCTTCTTCTTCCAAGTTTACAACAAGTGGTTAGTAAAAAGAGGTGAGGCCCAGGAGCACATCTTTTGTGAGTCAAACCTAGGCTTCTTAGGTTACTGGTGGGCATTCTAACGAAGCATTCATGAATGAGAATCGAATGTTTCTTTTTCTTAATTCCTATTTCTAAAGATATTTATATTACGTTTAGAAATTGCATTGTCAAACCTCAGTATAACTGCTTTTAGTTGAGTTTTGTTTAAAGGTCTGACTTGTGTTTTATCCGCCTTTTCGCTACATAAATTCCCACATAATAACACAGACGTCGACAACTTTGAAAGAGTAACGCGAAAATTCATCAGGTCACTGAACATTTCCGAATAAAAAGCTCAACATCAAGATGTTTTTTAGGTGTTTTCATCCTCCTCAAATTTCTCTTGGTTACCATGTTTATTTCGGATAATAATTATAAAATGAGTTTTTACAGCTTTTGAGGATGAAATCGCAGGAAAAATATCCTTTCTGAGTTTCTTGTTCCCATGATTATTCATTGGTAGACTGTCGGTGATGAACTAGTATCACAGAATATTCTGCGATGTTTTTGAAAACAGTTACAAATATCTCACGTCCTAATGAACCAATCAGAATTTAATATTTTTTGACTAAAACAAGTTCTTCCGTCAGACAGTGAGTGGGAAACGAGAAGACAGGGATATCCTGTCTGGATCGACCGAGGTGAAGAACCTAGAGCCTAGACCTGGATTTCGCGAGTGGATGATTTATGTTTGATGTCACACAAAATCGAAGGCTTACAAGCGAAAACCGAAAAACTGGTGGAAGAAGCAGTCGGCGAAGACAGGACTCCATATGAACATAGGTGAACAAGACGGAGGTGATGAAAATAACCAACCAACCAACCAAAAACAACAACAAGAGCAGCAACATCCATCGCCAATCACCATCAACGGGAGGGATTCGAAGGAGGTTACTTCATTCACCACTTATCTAGCATTGAACATTGTCTCAACTACACGCAGACGGATCGGACGAGGATGTCAAATCGAGAATCGCGGGGGGAAGGCGAGAAACACATTCATCAACCTGAAACAGCCAATATGGAAATCTTCCGCTGTCACTCAGCCAGCGTCGACAACAAAATCCGGTCGGATTTTCAATACAAACATGTCAAGTCAGTTCTTTTATACGGGTCACAAAGAATATTTCCAACAGCCTGTTGCAGACTTTTATCAACAACAACTGTCTTCGCTGACTCT